ATTGTATACCTGGCACTATGCTCAGAGATATAACCATGAAAAAGGCATAGTTCTGGTCAACTGAAAGAATCAATGCTGCTAATTTGGGAGTTGCTGAATTAATATACTCCAATGGAAAAAAAAAAGATATGTAAACAAATAAGGACAGTACAGAGTAAGTGCAATAATGTAGATAAGTAAAAGTGCATTTGGAGCAAAGAGAAGGGGACAATTAAGTAAATCTAGGGAGATGGAGAAAACTTACAGCAGAAATAATATTTGAGTTTGGTTGTGAAGTTTAAATGAGAGTTCATCAGACAGAGAAGTGGCAATGTGGGTGGTGGCATTCTAGATAGGAATTAATATGTGTAAGTGAATTAAAGTTTGAAAGACCGTGGCTGATTTGAAGAACATTTTCTGAGAACAGAATGAAGAATTTATATGCTGAGGAGGGAAGGTAGATGATGAGGCTAGAAAAAGTAGATTGCAGCTAGTTTGTTGTGCTAGGTTTGGGAAGTTCAGTTCAGCTTTTCCCACAAGTGGGCAGTCATAAAGGGTTCTTAATTTGAGGAGTGGGAGGGTTAAATTTGCTATTACTGTAAAAATTGCCTGCAACAGATATGGGACTCTGATTCGACTCACTTCAATTTAACACCTACAATGTACTAGTATTTTATATACATTATTTATCACAGCAACCTTGTGCAATAGGTATTTATCCCCACCTCACAGCTAAAAAAATGTCTCATGGAGATTAAACAAATTGCCTAAATTCATGTTAATAACTGGTATTTAAAAAATGATACTTCCATTGATTTTCATCCTTTATGAAAGTATGGGAAAGGAATCCAAAGGCTTGCAGGAGCATTCCTTAGTATTTAGGAATAATGAGTTAGAATCAGGCTGTATATATGGTTATGGTAACACATTATTTAGAAAACTGTAATGGTTATTATAATCTGAAATGGACAGTGTTGGCAGCTTTTAATGAAAGTATGCAAGTGTTCAAGAATACATTATTATTTCAACATCTTTATAAATGTCAATGTGAAAGAATTCAGACTGAAGTTAGGTGTGTGAAAGTGCTTGGCACCTTGCCTGTCATGTTGTGTATTTGCTCAATAAGTGCTGAACCAGAATCTAGACTGTGGAAGAGGCCTCTCTGAAGTTACTATCTTCACAGACACATTAATCCAGCTGGGGCAGAATTCACTGGCTTTGAATGCCAGACTTTTACAGAAATAGCTTTGTTTTAGTTTGCAGGTTCTGACTTTTAAACAGGTTCAGAAATTCACATGATCAGCTAAGATCTTATTCTAGGAGGCAAAGAAAAAAAAAAAAAACAACTGCTGTGAGTACTTTTTAGAAACAAAAATATATATAAACACCAGAAACCACAGTCAGAGACTTTCTTCTTCTTCTCTTCTCTGACTCTTATCTTCCTGGAAAATGCTACTTCAGTACATGGGTGTACTTTAATATAAGATGTGTTAAATTGCCTTACTGAGAACTTTTTCCTCTGCATGGCTAATACTGTGCGGCCCAAGAGGCGAATGTGGGAGGCTTCTGTTTTCTGAAGGCTTTTTCTTCGTAATGCTGTCAACCAACTGTGGTTTCTATAAGATACATGGATAGAGGAGCTGTCTCCGACAGTTTAGAATTTAGTTCCGTGTTCCTTGTAGATGAGATTGTGCACCTCCCCTATCCCCTTCCTTAGCTTTCTCTCATTGTTTATGAACATCAAGCTAGCAAGTTGTGGAGCTCAAATTCGAATTCAAATCTATCTGGTTGCCACAACTCGTGCTCTTTTTTCCTCATCAGTCCACTGCCTCTGAAGACTGCTGCCCAACTAGAAGACAGATGAGGTGCCATCTGGCTTATAGTCCTCATTATAGAATTTTCCCTTTTCAAGGAAGTTCAATAAAAGGCAGTTTAATACCAAGAATATTTAGATTAAAACAAAATAACCTAATATTTACTGTCCACCACCCCAATTCTAAAAGAACCTTTTTTCCCTTGTCAGTGTCCTTTAAATACTTTGCTCCAATGAAGCAAGGCTTTCTTCATTTTTCCCTTTCTTTCCTCAAATTACTTCCAGGCTCTGGGACATAAATCAATAGTAGAATAGTCATTAAATTTCAGTTGTAATCTACCTTATTAAGCTGATTCTAATGAGGAATTTTTTTTGCAGATCCCAAATGGTCTAGAGCTGGATTTAACAATGACATTCATTTAATTTTATTTATTTATTTATTTTAAAATTAGATTTTAAGAACCTCTATTTGGCCCTTACTTCCAGTGCCAGTTTTGGAATATAGAACCAAAATAAAATTCATCTGGTTAGGAACATTGTTGAGGCAAATGTCATGAGCTTTCTTTTGATGGGCTGGAAAATTTCTTTTCGTTTTAATAATATAATATTTTATGCATACAAAAGGATATTGGAACATATATCTAACTTATGAAGAATAATAATGAAACAAATGCCTATGAATCCACTTAGAGTTCACCATTTGACTTATGAAGTAGAAAATTTTACTATTAAGGCTTCCTATATGTTTTGCCCTCACCCCATTGCATTCCCCACCCTCCCTCCCAGAAATAAGCACTCTCCAGAATTCTGTTCTTCCTTAACTTTTATTAGCCTTATTGTTTTGCCTGTGGCAAAAAGGTTGTTTTTGTTTGTTTGTTTGTTACCATTTCACTTTAACCTTAAGGAATGAGTTATCCTCAAACTAATATTTAGCATATTAAATTGAAAGCTCTTGTACCTAAGTTTCTAAGTATAGTCTGGGTATAATTGATTTAAATGCATATATAACCAAAGTCTGTCATAAGACTTGGGCCCAGGTAATACAGAACTGTGTTTATAAAATCTTACAAAATCAGCTCTTTCATTTTACTGAACATTTAGGATCCATATGGTAGATACTTTCTCCATATTGCTTAGCCTTTTCCAGCATTACTATTGTGTTTTATTCCCCATACATCTATCAAATGGAAGGAGAAAAAAAAAATCACTTGTGAATATAGCAATTGTGTGTTCTCTGACTTTGCTAATTATGTTTAATCACATACCTATAAAATCCAAATTAGTTTTCAAATTTTATATATTTTAAAATCAAATTGCCTTTTTGGATTTTTTTATGTTTATATTTCAGAAGAGTCATAGGGTCATTAGGCATTTAGATTATAAAATCTTTCATTACACAGTATTTGAAATAACATGTTCCCATAAAAATTCTTGATACATATTTTATATTTATTTTGCTTTCCTGTATACTCAGTATTCAGTGTGAGAGATAACAGTAAAGGCCTTTTTTTTTTTTTTTTTTGAGGTACGCGGGCCTCTCACTGTTGTGGCCTCTCCCGTTGCGGAGTACAGGCTCCGGACGCGCAGGCTCAGCGGCCATGGCTCACGGGCCCAGCCACTCCATGGCATGTGGTATCTTCCCAGACTGGGGCACGAACCCATGTCCCCTGCATCGGCAGGTGGACTCTCAACCACTGCGCCACCAGGGAAGCCCAGTAAAGGTCTTTTTTTAAAAAATTATTGTTATTTAAAAGTAAAGTAACCATAAATCACCATTATTATATATTATATACGTTTATTACATATAATGCAGTTCAGACCAAAGATCAGTTATTCAGGGATATATCAATATTGTATCAGACTTTCAAACAGAGGGGTCTCATAGCATGGACCTTTTTTATAACTCCAGTTGATTCTTTTCATCAAGGAAGTGTGGGAAATAATACTTAGGTAATGTTTGCAGTATGAAAACAAAAACAGTAAGTGCAGAAGCTATCCCAGGGATAGCTTGGGGTCAAAGGCTTGCAGTACCTGAACTCTTCCTACTTCCCCATCCTCATTTCTCATGATTTCTGGCTCACACTTTTTAATTGAGTACTATGTTGAAGGCTATAGTCCCTTGCACACTATATGTTGCTTCTCATCTCTGTGTCTTTATCCTGCTACCTCCTTGATGATAATATGTTTCTTCTTTCCATCCCCTTATCTTCACCATCTCTTTTCCCTGGTTAATCCTATTAATTAAAACTTATATTATACATAGTAGATAAGACTTTTTTAAAAGATCTTTCCTTGAATTTGTGGAATTTACTTAAATACCATCAAGGGTGAAAATGCTTTTTAATCATATAAGCTTCTTCCCTAGTTATAGAAATAATGCTTTCTGTGTTTGTACTAATGATAAATGGAGAAGCATCTTAAGAGCTGAAAATTAAGAGAGCTCATTCTTTTCCAGTTTGAATTAAAAGAAAAGGCAAATGAAGACTGAGAAAACTTGCCTAACATGTACATTAAATTTTGTAACTTTTGTGCTTTGTCTTATTCAGTTAGGCTAGTTATAGGCAGAGCCAGGACTTGACAAATACAATGCCAGGCAGCCAATTAGAATTGGTCATTAGTAGGATGTGAATAAAGCTACCTGTCCAACCAACTGGGCCTGAGTCACAGGAGGGACAGCAGGTCCAGTGAAGAAGATGTTTCACCATGAACAGAAATGTGGGTAGAATCAATATAATTAAGATCCTTGACTGAATTTTAAAAAATTCTAACTGTGGAATAATTCAGTGTTTGGTGGGATGAAAGATAAAGGAATGCTCAGAAACTGAAGTGAATGAGGCTTATATTCTGAAATATACCAGAATTATTTAGCCTACTTTATCACATTCAGAGCTGTGTTTGTCTCATACAACTGACCTTTTAAAACAGACCTCTTTCCTAGTGTACCAGAGTATGTCTTCATACATTCAGGATTCCTTAGCCTGAAAGTTTATTCAAGTAGTAGTTGAACATTTCCATTTCATTCATGTATATTACCAAACCAGACTTTAATCAAACCATTTTGCTGTTGAGGTTCTTTGTCTAAAATTTTCTTTTTACTCTTTTCTTTAAGTCATTCTTTACTAAAACTGTGCTTTGCTTTAACTGCATCAATTAATTTTTTAAGAAACACCTTAATCAGTTTCTTTACAAATGTTACTATTTTTGTTAGGATGGACGTTTGAAGCCAGGAGATCAACTTGTCTCAATAAACAAGGAGTCTATGATTGGTGTATCATTTGAAGAAGCAAAAAACATAATTACCAGAGCCAAATTGAGGTAACTATTCTATCCATAAGATAGAATGAGTCATTTAGCATGTCTCCCTAAAAATAGAAATTTAAGTTGTCCTAGTACTTTAGACCCAAAAGAAGTATTTTTTGATAATATATGAAACATTATCTTAGAATTCAATTGTACTGTATCCATAAAGTGATTTCTTTTTAATGCTAGGTCAGAATCTGCTTGGGAGATAGCATTCATAAGACAGAAATCTCACAGCAGTCATTTAGAAAATCCATCGTGTTCATCCCTTTTACAAGCTACAGGAGAATATGGACCTCAAGCCTCAAAATTTAGTCTTCTTTCTTCTTCCCCTGAAATACTAATTCCAAAGACATCATCCACTCCCAAATCTACAGATGCCATTTTATCTTCTTTTAAGATAAATCAGGTAATCTTAAATTTCTCTATTTATGTAGTCCACAAATCCCCAATGTGTCATTATGTTTGTCATATACATATAGAACTATAATTTTGGTAATATAGTTTGTTAACAGATCGGTGTTTCCTTGAAAGATCCTTTCTTTGTTTAAGATTTTATGCTATGCTGTCAATAAATACAGTTTTTCAAGTCAATATATTGTTTGTCCAGAAAATCATGATCAGAATGGCATCACAAAGATATGCCTAGATATCACTCAAAACTATGATATGGAAAGTTATATTTATTTTCAGATAGTCTCTAGTATGGTTCTGTTCATTATTTTTTCTGTTTTCTGCTTGACTGAAGACAGGCAATCTTCCTTTCTGTTGCTCAGCTCTTTCTTGTACAGTGTAGGTGGATTTTGTTCCCTCATGTGTGTATGCTGGAATATATCAATAGTTCACCCTAGAATCACACGAAAGGGGGAGTTTCCACATCAAAATCGATATAATTACAGTCATCCCTCATCATCTGTGGAGGGATTGGCTCCAGGATAACCTCCCCACCCCCCGACAGCAGATACCAAAATCTGAGGCTGCTCAAGTCTCTTGTATAAAATGGTGTAGTTAGTATTTGCATTTAACCTATGCACAGCCTCCCCATATACTTTAAATCACCACTAGATTACTTATAATACCTAATACAATGTAAATGCTATGTAAATAGTTGTAAATAAATACAGTGTAAATGCTATGTAAATAGTTGCCAATGCGGCAAATTCAAGTTTTGCTTTTTGGAACTTCTTAGAATTTTTAAAAAATAGTTTTAATCCATTGTTGGTTGAATTTGCACATGCAGAAATGGCAGATATGAAGGGATGACTGTAATTACTAATTGCAACGGTGCCATAAATAATGAGTTATAAAATAGAGTGTATACTCTATAAAACAAACTTGAAAATCAGGTAGGCTTTCAGTCAGTGCAATAAAATTCATCAAAAGTAACTTCAGTTTCAGGTCCATGCTAATCATATACAGAGTTTAAGATTTTCTCTTAGCCCTTTATACTTTCTCATTTGGGGTTATAATACCTTTTCAGAGACACAGTGCATAGCCTTATATTTTGTTGTCCTTGGGTATGGTAGAGCTGAAAGCAGCTGTTACTTTCATTCTGAATTGCTGTGTTTGAAGATGAATATACCAAAATTTTAAAGGCTTTATATTTGGGGGACTATTGCTTTAATCTCTTTAATCATTCTTTTTATGTTAACGTGAGCTTCTCGTCTGGTTTTTGACCTACTTTAGAAAATGACATTTCACGTTCCTCATTTTCTTTCATAGATAAAAACTGGATACAAGAAAACAGAACAGATTCCAATTACTTCTTCAGACAACAGCCCTACAGATATGCCTAATACAGGTAAATGCACATTTAATTCCTCTTTCCTGTTATTTTTTTCAATTACTCTCTCAATGAGGAGTACATAATGTGACTTAAAAGACTTTAAAGAAGGGTACATTATGCCTTTTTCCTTCATTGAATAAAAGAGCAAAATGAATCCATTGTGCAGTGGTCCCTGTTAGATTATGACTTTTATTGGAAATTTTCCTGAACAAAGGGTTGAAATTTTAAAAGATGCATTATCATCGCAGTGTCTATGAAGCTGTAATAATCAATGAACTGTTGAAACCAAATAATGAAAACTCTTCTATAACTCAAGATTAGGCTGCCTTTGCCCTTTTAGTGAAATCCTCGTGAGGTGTATTAAATGCACCTTTCAGAGAAATTATAGAAGGGAGCAAAGCTTAAGAAAAGAAGTATGTTTTGTTTTTCTTGGAAGAGATTATATAGATAGAAAGAACATCAGTATTGTGAATTCAGTATTACTGGTTCTTAATTAGCATGAAATGATTTATTGACTTTTCAAAGCAGTAAAGGATTAATTGTGTAAGCTACCCATAAAAAAAGGATTTTTATCAATCTGTAAAGTGTTTGTAGGCTCAAATATCAAGAAAAAATTCCTTCCCTTAAATTATCTCCAAAAGTTAAAGGGAAGAACAGTAAAAACAAACAAACAAAAAACTATACTTATTGAAAGGAAGAGTTAATTACATGTCTAAATTATAAAGCAAATTGTTACTCATATACTTTAATTTTTAATAGCATTGTGTAGATCAAAACTGCAAAATAAGGAAGAGTTAGCAGAAATTATATAGTGTCTTAGTCTGTGTGGGTTACTATAACAAAATATCACAGAATGGGTGGCTTATAAATAACAAACATTTCTCACAGTTCTGGAGGCTGGAAGTCCAGGATCATGGTGCCAGCACGGTCTGGGTGAGAGCTTCCTTGTGGTTGCAGGCTTCTTATTGTGTCCTCACATGGTGGAAAGGTCTTGGGAGCACTGTGGGACCTCTTTTGTAATAACACTAATCCCATTCGTGAGGGCTCCACCTTCATGCTCTAAGCACCTCCCAAAGGCCTCAACTCTGGAGGTTAGCATTTCAACATATGAATTTCGGGTGGACACAAACATTCAAACCATAGCACATAGCTCCTATACTTAACAGGAATTTATAGTGGATTCCATAGTAGTTTCTCTGATTTGGAGCAATATTTACCAGTGGGTTAGGAACAATCTTTAGCTGTCAATTATATGCCTTTTTACTTAGTGGAATTTGTTGACCCTTAGAAACTTTATTAGTATTATTTCCTTTTTTAGCCAATTTATTTACTCAGTAAGTATTTACTGAGTATGTCATGTACATCATAGTTCAGTAGAAAATAAGAAGGAACTGGGATTTTTTTTCCATGAGATACTTAATAGTATATTGTGAAATAAAATATGGGATTAAAAACCTTCATTATTCAGATTAGAAAGCACATATATGTGTGTGTTTATTTATGTGTGTGCGTGTGTGATTATTTTATTGAATAAATACTCGACTATTTGCAGTGTTCTGTGTTGACTAGAGCAGGGGGTGGGTGGTTTTGGTACTCTAAGAAGTATATGTCTTATGGACAAATAACACATTTGCACAAGATGTGTAAAGACATGAGCAAAGTAGATTAAGGGAAGAAGTAGTAAGTGACCTGAGGGTGATATAGGGAAAACACAGTGGTTAATCACCAGGCTCTGAATGCAAACGTATATTCAGATCTTTGCTCCCAACTTATTGGCTGAATTAGCTTATTATATTGAAATAGTTTCCTCATGGGTTTGTTATGAGTATTAAACAAGATTATGTATGTCAAGCACTTTGTAATTGGTGCATAGAATATGCTCAGTACATTTTGCTGTCATTATTATTAATATTACAGAACCTGAAGTTTAGAGTATAGCTCAGATAATATTCCAGGGCATGTTTTTTAGAGCAGAAGTGAAAGCTTCTGTCCTTTAATTCAATTTTGCATCCTCCCCCTCTACCCTAGAAGCTAGTACATAGTAAAGAATTTGTCACAAAATGTGCAGAAATCAATAGAGAAAAATTTCTTGGCAAAAGTCAGACATCATCTGGATCTTGAAAGAAGTGATAAACATCAACAGATGGATGAAGGTAACAGATCATCCTAAGTGAAGGAGGCATCATCATCAAATGCAAAGAAGTAAGGTCAAGCTACATGTCAGGTGACCCTAGGAGGCAAATGTGATTAGAGCAAGGAGATCCTGTAGTAATGAACAAACTGAGGTAAATTTACATCAGTGACTATAAGAAATGATGCTAGATTTTGTAGAAAAATAATTTAGTGAAAAACATATTTGAGTGAGTTAACTGTATGTAAACATTAAAATGCAATTAAAATGGAACATTTTTCTAGAGTAGAAATGGAATTGACTCAGTACCATTTTCTTCCACATAAATGTAGTAGGCCAGATGTTTCTGGGGAGAAAAACAAAGCAAAGTCAACTCTAAGTTATCTCTAGGTAACTTATATACCTTGTGATTTGTCTGTTATAAGTAGTTAATTATAGATTGTTCCCAAATTATATCCTTAACCATCACATCTAGACTCCTTCAGCCAGCTGGTATTTATTAAAAAACATAAATGAGTTTTAATGTTAACCTCAACAAAAATAAACTTAATGAGGCAAGTCTACCCCTGTTCTCATCTCAGAAGCATTCCAAAGTGTAAAACTGGTTAGAATGTTTAAAATTCACATTATACTTGAGTATGTTTTTCGAAACTATTCTGTTATATAAATTTCTTATTTCAGAATCCAGAGTTGTTTACTACTGCCATACACTGAATAATGCGTGAGTTTGTGAGTGAGCTAAAAACATGCTAAAGACATTCCTAAGAAAATCAGTAAAGAATTACTACGTGAAGGAATACGATCATTAACTTTACCACCACACAAGCCTTAATTCTCCTGCAACAAGGTTTTTAAAACTGAAAACAAACTAGTGATGGGGGAAAATATCCCTGGTGAGGGTTCATGGTATTAACTAAATGGTATTGATCCTACACTTATAAAACATTTCCTTTCTTCTGCTCCTAAAAAGAGGAATAGGAAGAGAAGAGCCAAGGGAATAATAAGCCATACCTTGAAAATTCTCACCCCCTCCCAGAGAGGAGCAAATAAAGAGCCCAAGGCTGAAAGTGAGAGAGGACACTGGCAAATGAGGAAAACTGTCTGTGGGAGAGCTTATCAGGTCAAGTTACCTTGAATTACCAAAGCATGCTGGATTTATGTCCACCTCCTCCTAAGGTTTTGGCTCAAAGGTAAAGATTTAGGGGAAGTTTGGCTAGAAGAAAGTGAGGTTTTGTTAAGCCATGATTGCATATTGTTAAATGGGGGATTATTATAAGTTTACATTAAATCTCCTATTTAATCTCTGTGTGTCTGTGTTACTATTAACACTACTTTATAGTTTTCATAGTATTTTTCTATGGTTTTTAATTTACCTTTACAATTCCTGTAAGGTGATCTGTTTTATTCTTCCTACTTTACAGATGAGAAAACTGCTGATGAAAGATACTGACACATTTAAGAAATTGTCTTCAGGGGTCATAAGAGATTAGAATCCTAACATGGTCACCTACTAGTTGTATGATCTTGGGCTAGTTTCTTTACCCTTTTGGGCCTTAGTCTCATCATTCTTGGGTTGGAAATAATAACACCTGTGTCACTGTGGTTATTGTAAAGATTAAATGAGCTTATATATATAAAGTACTTAGTGTAATGCCTGGCTAAAAGTAAGCATAAATAAGAGTTAATCTGTTATTTCCACTGTTGCACATAGCAAATTTTTATGCTTAGATGTAGGAAAACATAAGTGAGAACCCACGCCTTGGTGTGAGTCCCTATCCCTCCCTCTCTTTTGTCTTCTCTCTATGCCTTCCACACACACTTGAATTGAGTAATTCACACCCAGGGTTAGTCTTGGTCTGAGATCATAATTAGGTTAGCTTGGGTCCACCTTGTGTTACTGTGCCTTAATGATAGGTCAGGCACCAGACTGAAAGTCGTTGTCAAGCCTCACATGTCCAAACCCTAAAAATGAAAGATAAGGTTTGACTTACCCGCTATTTGGGCTTCCATACCACTTCACTCCATGCTGATATTTTATGCTACACTTTAGGTTTGGCACAAAATTTCTCTTAAGAGGAAAAAAATTTTATATGTATAATATATTTTTAGCCCTTGGCCAACAATTAGGTATCACAGCAACTAAGGCGTCTTTGTTGCTTATGTCAAAATTGTAAAAACTTTATTATACTAAAATCAGTCTTTCTCTAGGTTTGAATTCCACTTAAAGCTAAAAGTCAGTAACCATTTTTTTTTTCATGATCTTGACACCTATAAGCTATATTCAAGATTTTACATAGAATGTTAAGGAAGCGTTAAAGGTTTAGAGGAAGACTATTTATTTTCCTATGCACTTCTTATGTTCTTAAGAAAGAGAATGCAAATCATTTTGTACTTAGAGACAGATGCTCTGAGAAATAAAAAAAAATAAAACACTGCATAAAAATGTGACATTTTAAAAAGTTTTTTCTCTTCCTCTTGTTTCTATGTAGAACTAGTAAAATACCATTTAAAAGTGTATTTAGAATGGTGACAATTTAGATATAAGGATTGACATGAATTGCAGAAACTTGCTTGAGAAACTTTGGCATATTAAGGCAAATAATTTTTCAAGTTCTAGTCCCTTGTGACACCTGTTTTTTACTCATGCAACAAGGACAAAGCTCGTCTAAATAATCAGGGTAGACTGAGAAGGCGTTAGAGAATGGGTGAGAGGTGTATGACACTCAACTCTTGAGAATCCATTTATGCTACTTGGAATATAACTTCTGTAAAATAAGAAATAGGATTTTTAGTTCGAGAAGTTCTGAGCCTATATCATACTTTATGTGCAAACTTGAAACAGTTTGCATTTGTGAGTTTTTCCATAGTACCTCCAGAACTCATGTAGCAAAACCACTTTTGCCAGAGAAAAATCATGACCTTTTAAAATTTCTAATATGATTTTGCTTATTTTGGAAGAAAAAAAAGACTTTTCATTTTGCAATTAGTAAGCTGTTGTGATGACAAGGTAACTGGTGGGATGTATGTTTGTTGTATTAATATTTCTGTGGGGCTTAATGCATAATTGGTCACTCTTTTTTTTTTTTTTTTTTTTTTATGGTTTTTCCTGAGTATATGCCCAGTAGTTGGAATGCTGGGTCATGTGGTAATTCTATTTGTAGTTTTGTTTTTTGTTTTTTTTTTTTGTGGTACGTGGGCCTCTCACTGTCGTGGCCTCTCCCGTTGCGGAGCACAGGCTCCGGACGCACAGGCTCAGCAGCCATGGCTCACGGGCCCAGCCGCTCCGCGGCATATGGGATCCTCCCGGACCGGGACACGAACCCGTGTCCCCTGCATCGGCAGGCGGACTCCCAACCACTGCACCACCAGGGAAGCCCCCACTCTTTCTATATCATGTCTTCTAAGGCTTAAGTGAAGCTGGTTTATATAATACATTTTAGATTTAAAGAACAAAAAATCATGAAAACAAAAGTGAAAACTACCAACTGATTAGCCAGAATTCTTTCTGAACCTCAGGAGCCCAGAACACATCCTGTCAAATGAAAAATTCTATTCCAATTAAATTTCCAATTAATGTGTACCCTGTTGTCTCGTAGATATTGCCCCTGCCTTGACTGATAATTATGGACTACAAGGAAAGAAGATTTCCCTAAATCCCTCTGTTCGCCTTAAAGTAGAGAAACTGGAAATGGTAAATACTTGAAATTTTCATTTTTCTTCCATAAAACAACAGCAAGGAAATATTCTCATTCTTTGAGAGGATAAGGGATTGGAGCCATTAGTTTCTTGAAGAGTTATCGATTTACAGTTAAATGAATGGCAGTTTGGGTTTAAACTGTTTAATTCATGTTTAATTTGGGCAGTTCATGGTGGTTCGTTAGTACAAAATAGAAATAAAACCTTTTGTAACTAAATTGACCTTCAAATTAATCAGTTTCCTCCTGTGTAGGAATGAGACAAATGTGACGTTTTACAATATAGAATCAAAGGAAACATGGGATAAATTATGACAAAGTGTAGTAGACTTCAAATATGTAATGGCAATAAGTGCAAGGAAGTAATACTCTATTACTCAATTGTTTAAAAAGTGAAGGGAAACTAAATCTTAAAGAACAAAATAGAAGCCTACTAGATATAAAGAAGATGGTAGCAATGTACCAAATAGTATTATATTGAGTTTCTGTATATAAAAGAAACATAAGATGATTAAAAAAGAAAAAAGAAAAATTAGATTGGTCTTCCCTGGTGGTGCAGTGGTTGAGAGTCCACCTGCAAATGCAGGGGATGCGGGTTCGTGCCCCGGTTCAGGAGGATCCCACATACCGCGGAATGGCTGGGCCCATGAGCCATGGCCGCTGAGCCTTGCTCCCCAACGGGAGAGGCCACAACAGTGAGAGGCCCGCATACCGCAAAAAAAAAAAAAAAAAAAAAAAAAAAAGAGAAAGAAAAATTATAAGCAGAAAATGATTTTAAAACTTTTCCTGTCGGGATACCTGGAAGATGACAGCAAAAATGTGTGATTTTTTTTTTTAATATGAAAATGGATATAATGCCGAAGGTTCACAGCCTCTACTTTCCTATCAGTTTTTGTGGATAATATATATATATATATAT